GGCGCCCGAGCCGCCCAACACGACCGTCCTCCCTGGGCCGAAAGGGCTCCCCGCAGCACAGCCTGCAGGAAAACTCTGTAAAGCAGCACAGCAGAGGAGCCAAAGCAAGGAAGCAATGGGAAAATAGGTAATTCCTGGAGGTGGGCTTAACCAGACTCGCTCTTGACCTGCCGGAGAGGGTGGAGGCTGCCGTGCAAGGCCTTGCTCTGATCCCAGCCTTCCCTGGCCAGAGGGCCGTGCGGGCCGGGCCCTCTCCAGGCTCCTTCTCGTCTTCGGTCCGTTTGTGGCAGTGGGTTTCGCGCCTTCTCTCTGAGCAGGCTGCGCTTGCACCACATGGTTTAGCTTTTATCTCTAGCCCAGCGCTGCCCGCAGAAGCTCTCCGTTCCCAAGTGCCGCATCCTGCGAGCTGAAGAGTTTCCCAGCATCTCCCCCGGCGCTGCTCTATCTCGTCCTCCAGCTGGGGCAGGAAGCCTCGCCCAGACCTCTGGACCTGTGCTAGGGAAGGTGGCCCCTGCCAGAGGGCTCTTGCTTTCACCAATAACACTTGGAGCTTTCTTGCAGTCGTTCCTCGTAGAGGCAGCTTTGCAATTTAGACGTAATATGTTTGAAAAATCCTTGCTTATTCCTTATACTTCGTGACTGACAATGATTTATCCGAAACTTGGCAAGTGCAAGGCAGTGAAGTGATGGCACCATCTTGCTTTATCTGACTGATTTTAATGTGCCGAGTCCCATCAGTCCCTGCTCGCAAATCCCCTCAGGAACGCGTGCGTGTTGCATAAAGCAGCGCTCTGACGCTGGTAGTTTGAGGAAGGTGGCGAAGGGCTGAGGAAGGCTGGTGAAACACATCGGCTGTGGGAGCAGGGCTGTTTTGGACAGGATCAGACCGAGGTTCTTATGCTGAAGAACGTGATTCTTACCGGGTGAAACGGGACAGCTTCCAATTTAAATATGAAGGGTCCCATAACAAAGCTTTGTCAAGACAGAAATGACTGAAAAAAACAAATTGGACTGAGTATTTCCCTCCAAATTGCTTTGGAAATAACTTCTGGCAATGCGAGCCTTAGTGCAGGCTCTCCTCCCCTTCCCGGCCCGAACGCAGATGTTCTGTGCCCGTAGCGGCAGGGCAGGACAGGTCGAGCTCCTGCAAGGTGCTCCTGGGTTAGGTGTCCTGTGGTTGCTGTTCCTGAAGTTAAGAGCAGATCCCGCTCACCTGAGTCTTCCTCTGGGGCCAACAAATCCTGTTGATCACTGGGACATATTTTGCCTCGATTCCTTTATTTATCCCCGGTGAATACACCCCCAGCAATACCCCCTTCTGGGTGGCACCGAAGGTGGGTGCAGCCGTGCTGTGTGTGCCAGCCAAGTGGCTCAAAGGGCTTGGGCTTGCGCGGGCAGAAGCTCCAGGTCTGAGCGGAGCGGAGCGCCTGGGGACGCGCAGCCCGCCGCTGGGCCTTGCTCTGGGAACGTCCGTTCCCTGCCGCCTCCGTCAGCGCCGCCGCGGCGCAAACGCGGGTCTCGACGTCCTGCACCGCGGCCGCGCGTGCCGCAGTTCCCGGGCCGGCTCTTTCCTCTTTTTCTGCGGCAGAGGAAGAGAGCTGCTGTCGCAAGGACTAATCTCCAGGCGCTGGTGCTTCCTGTCCCCAGACCAGCATGTCCTGTGCCTCGAGGGAGACCGAAGGGAAAAATTAGCTACTGTGTCTATCGTAGTGACACGAGCAAATACAAATGAGAAAAACATTTTTCTTCTTCAACTCTATGTAATCTCATTTGGATTTTTATATATTCTATAGCTGTAAGTTGGTGCAGCTATATTTATAATCAATCTTCATTAAAAAGCGTGTAGTTAGGGAGTCTCTCTCTGTCCCGTGTGTTCCTGACGTGTCATCGCGATGTCCGTTTCGGATTCCCTCTTCTGCCCTGCCCGAGCCGAGGACAGCGCACGCAGAGCGGCGCTGGCGGGTCGGGTCCCCGCGGCCTGGGCCTGCCCGAGCGGGGCCTTGGGCACCGGGAGAGGGGTGCCCTGTGCTTCGGCCGTGCCGCTCGCTCATCGAAAGCGGCCGATAAAGCAGTTCAGCGACAGGACGCGGCACAGCGTGATGCCCTTCGGCCAGCGGCGCTGGGTCGCCGTCTCGGCGGTGCGCGAGGAGCCGCAGGAGCTGCCAGCGGCCCGGCCCGCGCTGTGGCCCTGTGGGCGGCTGCGGCAGCACTTTGAGCAGGAGCGTGTCTGGCGTCCTATGCCCCAGCATTTAAAGCATTTTGCTGGTTAAATCAGGGACTTTCAGATGCTGTAAGGTGTTTTAAAGGTTATTGCAGGTCCGGCATCGCTGCGGTGCTGCAGTAGGGCTGCTCGGTTCCTGCCGGATACCTGGTGTTGCAGTTGGCGGCGTGGAGCAAATCCAACTTGTTCCACGCGGTGCGACCGACCCGCCCGGCTCACGGTCCGGAGCGTCAGAGACCACGTGAAGCAGCGGCTCAGCAGGGTGAACATTCGCACCCATTCTGGGCGTTTGGCACACTCTGGAGTCGTCCTTACCCAGGCGAAACGGGAATTCTCTGTCGTTACAGAGAGGCCTTAGAGCTCTGTGTTGTGCTGGGGTCTGTCCTCTGCCTCTCCAGGGGGGGTGGAGGTGAAATGGTGAATCACAGAAAATGCAGACGGCCTCTCGGGGTTGTTTTCCTGCCTAGACTGCGCAGCTGGGCTGCTTGCTCAGCACACTCTGGAGTCGTCCTTACCCAGGCGAAACGGGAATTCTCTGTCGTTACAGAGAGGCCTTAGAGCTCTGTGTTGTGCTGGGGTCTGTCCTCTGCCTCTCCAGGGGGGGTGGAGGTGAAATGGTGAATCACAGAAAATGCAGACGGCCTCTCGGGGTTGTTTTCCTGCCTAGACTGCGCAGCTGGGCTGCTTGCTCAGCTTTCAGGGCCGCTCAAGCCCTCCTTGCCGGGC